TATATACAGAAATGATCTAATGAGCACCGGTGCTCATCTTATCCTAAACACCAATGAGTTGGCACATTAATTCATTGGTGGATTGGAACTCACAAAATCTTTATCCACCAATGAATTAATGTGCCAACTCATCGGTGCTTAGGATAAGATGAGCACCGGTGCTCATTAGATCATTTCTGTATATATATATATATATGCAAACCGACTTAGTTACACGGTTGACTGTATTTTGCCACTTTCCACACTACATGCACATGCACTAAATGCAATTGCAATGACACAGTTTCTTCTCTTATTTTGATTTTAAACAATAAATAAATTATTCGGCTTTCAAGCTTCCAAATTTCCTGTAATATTGGTGCCAAATCAAAAAAAAAAAGTAGACCAAGTTATGTTGATAATGGTAGTGATATAGAATCAAAGAGAAGAAGCTGGACGGAATCAGATATTTTGAGAGTCAAGGAAATTTTCGATTCTTCAGTTGGCAAGCTTGAAACTAGGCCAACTCGTAGTCGTAGCACAAATGTGAGTTTCTGGTTCTTCTTTATCTATTTTTCTGGAGTGGGATTTTAAATTTGCAAAGACTAAATGGTGTTTGATATTTGGTAAATTAGCAAATTCAATGGTTGTGTGATAACAAGAGTATTAACCATTCAAAAGAAAAAATATTGGCTCTAGGAGGAAGAAAAAGAAATTCCGGACACCGTGTGCGCACGGAGACCTGTCTCCTTATAACATTGTTTGATACCAAAACCAAATTGATTCCAATTCCATATCGGAACTTTTGATAATTTAGACCTTGATTAAATAAATGAATGTTTTCTTATAATTTTCATGTAGTCCTGTTATTTAACTCCATTCTCTATTCTTCATTCTCGTGGGATATTAGCAGAGATGAAGCTGATAGACAACACAACAATTTATGAGTTCTTCAGACCCTGAACCCAATAATTATTCAAGGGCAAAGAGTATAGTTAAACTCAATTTCAATCCACATAGTCAATTTCCAATAAAGATTAATAAAAAACACAGTAATCAAGTTTCTTAAAAATATATTTGAGGCAAATTATATTTTTTATTCTAAACACCGTAATAAATTAGTGCATTTTTTTTTACGTAGTGATAAAATTTTAGCATTTACGTGTATGGATTTAGAGTTTTTATTCTCATAATTCAGAATTAACCAATTCGTTAGTGTTGAAATAAAGGAGTAAGAAACGCAAGAATGAAAGAAGCAAACTGTATTTCTGTTTGTAATTTACAATGTACAGAAGTAGTATTTATATAGTAGAGAAAGACCGACTAAGTTTTGTAATGCAATCAAAGTATGAATCAATCATTAACTAATTACAATCGATCATGGTATATCAGGGACATACAGAATGTCAAGAATCAATCAGCCATAAATACGGGATATGTCAAAATCAGAAATGCATTCCGTGGACGGAGACGCCCGTGTCACGGTCTCTGTGCTCGTATGGAGACACGGATCGTGTCTCTCGGGCGTGTCTCCACGGAGACTCAGTGTCTCCACACGGAGATACGGGCGTGTCTCCAGTTTATTGCAACGAGCACAAGAATGAACAAGTTTCTACAACATATAAATGAACTTCCAATCAATTTACAGATTTCTCAGTACACAATTGATTCATAGGGAGTTAGTTTGAAATTTACAGATTCAAAAATCACGAAGGTGCTGTTGAAGGAAATCATTTTCTTTTCTGATGGCTTCAAGATCTGCTTGTAACTTGTCCACGTTCAAGCGTCCAGAAGTTTGGTCCTGAAAGGGTTGTTGATACACCAATCACAGAGGTTCAATTGATTAACTTAGTGGCAACTTGCTGGATAATTCAGCATTTCAAATGATCAGATAATTAAAATTTTTGCTTCACTTTATCTAGCATGGTGACCTTTAAGGCTCAATTTCATTAATTTTATATTGGTTTCATCCACGCTCAGAATTATACGCTCGCTTGATTTGCAGGCTGGCTTTACAGGGATTGGAGTTGGTGCTGCATTTTATGGACTCAGACCTGTTGTTGAGTTTATGACATATAATTTTGCAATGCAGGTTTCGTGTATCTTTTGTTTGAAGATTTTCTTTGTTTGAGCGAGTACATTCCAAAGCATTGAGCAAACGGTCGGAACTCCCCACAGGAGATGTAGAAACTTTTGAAATGAAAAATAAATAACTGAAGCCTCTGCCAGTAATAATGGCAATTCCTTCACCCAGTAAGCTGGTTGTTTATCACCATTTACCCATAAAATAGGTGACTTGTATTCTAGATACTGTCTTGTTACAGCGTACATTTGATATGACATTCTAACAAGCTGGTGACCACGCATGTCAGGCCTCTCTATTCTCTAAACCGTTGTCCTGACTGTTGTGTCAAGAAAATTGAAATTCATTTGTTAGCCTCTTCCTTGTAATTGGATGGATCAGGAAGGAGGTTACAAAATACTCTTTTATCCCATTATAGCGGCTATGATCTTCATTAGTCTGTAATTTTTTTTTGACCCCATTGTTTTTTTTTTTTTTTTAAATTTGATGTTGTTTTTACATATTGATTGCAGGCAATTGATCACATTATTAACTCTGCTGCTAAGACAAACTACATGTCTGCTGGCAATATTAATGTGCCTATTGTTTTTAGGGGGCCAAATGGTGCGGCTGCTGGTGTTGGAGCCCAGCACTCCCAGGTGTGCTACTTGGTTAATCACCTTTTAATGTTAGTTGTATGACCTTCTTATGGACAATGTGATATGTTATCGAATGCCTTTCATTCTAAAGATGGCTTGGTATTTTGATATAACTTGTCATTTTGCTGAAAATTGTACTTTTAACAGTTGTGCCGTGTAGTGTTATGCAGCATGGTATGGCTCATGCCCTGGCTTGAAAGTGCTGATCCCATATTCGTCTGAAGATGCTCGTGGACTTCTCAAAGCTGCCATTAGAGACCCTGATCCTGTTGTTTTCCTTGAAAATGAACTGTTGTAAGGATCCAGTACTAACTAATGTCATGATTGACACTAATTGATCAATTGTTATGTTAAAGCTCCTAAATTTCATGATTAATTCTAATGGCATGCAATATATAATTTATATAACAGGTATGGTGAAGCTTTCCCTGTTTCAGCCGAAGTTCTTGATTCTGGATTTTGCATCCCTATAGGGAAAGCTAAAGTATGTTTCATGCATCTTACAGAATGGTATGGAGTTGATTAGCCGCCTCCTTGTGCAGAACTGGTATATGCTAATCATTTTTCCGTTTGGCATGTACAGATTGAGAGAGAAGTTACGGCATTTTCAAAGATGGTGGGCTTTTCTCTCAAGGTTGGTCGGTCGGTCTGTCTTCGTGCGTTCTTTAGCTTTTTAACATTTTTAGCTCTGTACAACGAATAATTCAACTAGAGTAGTGTGTCCGATAAAAACTCTAAATCCATACACGTAAATGCTAAACTTGTATCACTACGTAAAAAAAAATGCACTAATATAATTTGATGTCATCAGAACTTCTATTAGGTAAAGTGTATTTACTACAATTTTACTGATATCACAAGTCATTAAAATGTTGTATAGAAAAAATATAATTTAGTAAAAGAGAATTCAACACTTTTAACGTGCTAACACAACCTATAAATGCACGGGCAAAAACTACTAGGATTGAGCAATAAATTTCATGTTTTTTTGAATAATGAAATTACACTACAAAAAGAAATTCGATTCGGAAGCTGGAAATGCATTATAAATTCGTAACACAGGTAGCAAATCGGACACAGCACCGCATTCATCAGGATCTTCCCAAGTTTTAGCAGAGACTTGGAATTTTGAGAAAGAGCCATATCAGTCGACTTAACCATTCATCTGACTAATAAGAGACAATGCCCGCTCTACTATATTCCCATCAGTTTCTCACGTCCGCACTAGAATAGAATCCCTCATTTGGAGTAACATGGCCAAAATTTGCTATTCGAGCTGCTCAATCAAAATAGATATACAAGGATTTTTTTACTAGGATTTTTTTACTCTTGATATACAATGCACAATAGGAGGTACAATAGTCAAGCCCCTTTGCAGCCATTACCATTTTTCAGCCTGAAGGAATTACAGTTTCTAAGCCTGAGGCTTCGATTCCAAGGAAAGACAGCCCCATGAAGGGTTCTGTGGGGTATGAACTCAAAAACTAACCAAAATGCACTTGAGGAAACATAAGCCCCGACCCCAGAAAGACTTCAGATTTGAGTTTAAAGCATTATATACTTTATGACTAAGATAACAAGTAATTACTATCGGGTTTTCTCGACGCTAACTAGTAGTTCTAACAAAATAACAGACAAAACTATCAATCAGTAGGAATAGGGAAAGGATCTTTACTGTCTATCACGTAATTCCATAGTTTAAAATATAATGACATTGTGCAGAGATACAATTGTACAAACAACAAACCAAGACCATCCTTTTTTGTTTTGAAGGACCAAGACTGTCCATTAATATACACGCATATACCAGAAAAACATATCAAACATATATTAAGCAGAAAATTGGCATGACATGGCACGTCTCCAAATTAAAGCATTACAACTTAATCTAAGACTTTTTATGGTGAATTGACATCTACAGATTGAGAATACCAGACTTTCTTTCATGCACAAACTGTAATAACATTATCCCCGTGTAAAATGGCGAGCAAGAATAAAAATTTCAAACCAATCGAAAAGAAATAAATCTCTTCATAGCTACAAATATTGCACTGTCCCAAAAAAGATGCAAGAAAAGAAAAAATGGAGTCAAGGTTCCCGATTGGGGAAGTCTCCTCACAAACGACAGGCAGTTCAGCAGGCAGCAACACTATTGCAGCAAAAACTAAGGCAGCATACAAAAAATACAACCATTTTTTTTAGAAAATGGAAACTTGTAGATTCGTTCCCATGGTTAGATCATTTTCCAGTAAAAGGAAAACCTGCCAAGAATTCTGGCAAAGGCAACAACAGCAGCCCCAGGAAAAAAGTCCAGGCCGTCCAAGAACTTCATATAGCAAACCAAACACAACAAGTCACAACTATTTCCTAAACTACCATCCTTTCAAAGTTGAACTCAATTTCAATTAGCACATAAACATTTGCAGGACATATTTTACTACTCCATGCAGTCATGATCCTTCTCATAATCCAAAAATTATATTCTCAATAATTGAAAAACTTAACTGATGAATTCAAAGAGAACAAGTGTTCCTATTCATAATATAATCTTCACCACATATCCTAACTTCAAATTATTTAAGAGCTTGTTTGTCTACCATTATGGGAGAAAGAATGATGTTTTGAATATTATTTTTTGGAGAATGTGTGGTTAAAATTGAAAGAAACTTTATTGATTTGTGTGTAGAATATTTTATTATTTGAATGTGTGGTGGAGACTGATTACGGTAGAAAATAATGTTTTGAAAAATGATAGACATACAAGGGCTAAATCATATATTCATGTCTTCAATCATTACTGATAATCCCAAAATATACATACAACCTGAGCATGACCCTTGAGGAGTGCCTTGTCTATCTAGCCACAACCGTCATGATCTCCTCGGGAAGACTTATCCTCGCTCCATTAGGTCCTCCTCGAGGTTACGACTGAACGTCGTACCATGCAATCCCTGATTTATTAGGCATCTCCTTCGTGACAAGACTTATCCAACTCTAAAATATTTTAATCCTGCTGTTAATATGTTATACAAAACCAATGAAGTTACAACTTCTAATCACAGTAACTCCTAGGGATTTCAACGGTGTAATCCCACCAGAAATGCACTGCCTACATCTATAAATACAGCATTCCAATTCATTATTAAGATACTTTTTATATAATTTCAGCATATAATTTTCGCAAATTCTTTCTCCGATTTAAGCATCCGAGGGGCAAAGATGACACACGTCATCACCTTTGTTTCAAGTACCAGAAGATCTCGTTCGTGCTTATTCTCGGCCATCAAGCTTGGAAATCAACATGTGTACGATTTTTGGTAGCATCAATTAACAACAAGAATAGCAATCTAGAGCAAACACTTTAAAGCTAATTAAAAACAAAATAGTTCCTCAGAGTTAATAAAAAACCGACATGATAAAATTTAAATAACCCAATTTCCTCTTTAATGGCAGTCAAAATATGTTTTTAATATCAAAATAGTACCAGCCATTTAATTTTTTTTAAAAAAAACAAAAGCACAAGAGAAACAAACTTTAGCGACTCAGATTCAAATTCAAACTCAATCCAGGGGAATCTCCACATCACCATCAGTAATCTCTTGCTGCAAATCCTTCGGGTCCTTCCCATCAACCGTACACCCAACGGAGACACACGTGCCGAGAATCTCCTTCACTGTACCCGACAAATCTTTGGCCATAGACCTCGGGCTCATAATCTTAGCAATCTCAATAACATCGTCAAGTGAAATGTTCCCGTTGTGCTTGATGTTCTTCGTTTTCTTGCGGTCACGCTCGGGCTCTTTCAGGGCCTTTATAACGAGGGCAGCGGCGGAGGGGACAACTGTGACCTTGGCCTGACGGTTCTGGACGGTGAGCTTAACGGTGACGCGAAGGCCCTTCCAGTCCTTTGCAGTTTCCTTAGCTATGTCCTCACCGATTTTCTTAGGTGACAGGCCGAGGGGTCCGATTTTCGGAGCGAGAGAACTGGCAGCTCCGACCTCACCACCGGTGACCCGGACGAACACGTCCACTACCTGGGATGGGTCAAACTTCGGCGGCATTTTCCGTAGAGAGACAGGAGGGTCCAACGGCTGAGTTTTGTGAGATATCTGAATGGAGGCGCCGCAGTGAAATATGTCTTTTTTGGGTGGTTATATTGGACTAGGGTTTTCGCGGGAGGGAAATCGTTGAAAATACCCAAAATAAACCATTAGCCTTTCCAAAATACTCATTTTCACTATTCAACCATATAAA